ATAACAGAATTTTCAATTCTTTTAAAATTGTATAACAGACAAACAATCACCACGTTTCGGGCTTACCTCCTTAACAAGAATGCTATATTGTAAACTTGGCTTTAAAAAGTATATAATGTATATCCATCTTGATGGTAGTTGTGGTACATGTGGGAAAAGTCGCAGATCAAAGGATGCAATAGTCTCTGTAACAGAATGTTTCTTATTCAGATGTACAGAAAGCAGGTAACGAAGATGACTGGTAATTCAGTCCTGCATCTCTTCTGGTATTTCGTGAGGATTAAGTATTCCTGGAACTGCCATTTGTTGTAGCCTTTTTTCTTCTTGTGCCACCTGTAATGCAGTTTCTCGTTCTTCTAGGTATAGATCTGAATCATCTTCTCCAGTATATTCCTTTATAATAGAAGTTTGTTTATTTAATCGTATTAAATATACATATGTAAATAAGAAATCAGCAATTACCAATTGTTATTAAAACTTACTCTAATTTCAACAAGAAAATCTCTAAGATGTTCTTTGAATGCAGGGATATCTTGATTAAAATTAAGTAAACCTTGTACAGTTATTTTAAGTTGATTATCAGTCAAATGTGGGAATGCTGCTTTAAGCAACCTTGCAACAAATTCTTGAACATACAACGTGTTATCTGGTACAGGTCCTAATGGAACTTTAATTCTCCCAAGTTCAACCAATGAAAACATGTATGCCAGAATTGTAGCGTGCATACTAAGGCCTAGACGATTGGTAATAAACAAAATTAATTATACAAAAATAAAATTGAGTAACCATATCGAATTAATTTTTATACATTTACCTGCTATGTGTGATGAATCTGTTACTACACTGAATATGTGTTGAAGAATATCTGTGAAATATGTTTGATAGAAATTCTGAGCAGCTGGCTCATTTTCGACATTTTGTAAAAGTTGATACAATATATGTAGCCCTGTATCTGCAACGTTTCTCATCGTATGTTTAAAAGCCCAAATTATAGAATCAAGTACAAGTTTAAATTGTGCTGGTGGAATTATAAGAAATGCAGGAAAACAATAAATATTCACTGCCTAAAAGACAAAAATGTTCAAAATGTTGTAATAATTTATAGTATACAACACAAAAGTTCATAAATAACTAATATATATAATTACCTGTAAAAGTAAAAAGAAATTTGTTCTATGTTCTGGAAATTCTTCAAAATCTTTATTGATCATTTCTAGAGTACATTCAAACACAGCATCAAATATTTTCGGTATTTCACAGGTAATGAGACTTTCTAATTTATTTACGATAGTGGCTATAGCACTCAGCACCTCCGGTTCTCGAGCACAGTGAACATTTGTTTTTTGATAATCCAATAACACAGCATCCAATAACGGTGGTATAAAGCTTTCTAAAACCTGGTAAATATGTGCAGTAAATAAAATTAGTTTAAAAACACTGCAAATATTTTAAATATTATACATTAAATGACAAAACACACAAAAGATATTTTCAGTCAGAGATAAAATTAATAAAATTATATAACTTCTATAAAAATTAACAAGAGAATCTTACCATTTGACGATCAGTTGTTCTACTAACCCAATCTGAGATCAATTTTAATGTTTCCTTTTTCACTACTCTCATACTTTTAATTAAAGATTGTTCCATTACTATTTCACCATTCAAAGCTATTGCAGCACTTATATTTTCACTCATAACCTAACAAAGAAAGTCATGTATTAATTTGTTTATTACAACGTTAAATATATTATTAAACAATATGAAAGTACCTTATAAACGTTCAACATATCTAAATATATTCTTCCTAATTGTATCACGTATGGATGCCCTAGAGCTTTGCAAGCTCTTACATTTGTTTTTAAAATACTAGCAAGTTGTTTTACAGCTTCTTGATCTTTTAATACATCTACATTCTAAAACAAAAAGTGTTTAGTAAATAAATTAGAAAAATATGTTGTATTAACATTATTACTTACTTTAGATGCTTGGCTTATTATATCATCCCATACTTGATTTGGTAGTAGCATATATCTTTCTATTAAATCTTCTTGCACTACTGTATCTGTCTGTGCACTTATCATGTATCCAACTGCTTCATAAAAGGTATGTACCTGCATTATTATAAACATAAAAATTTAGTAAAAAGAATCTGTTGCTTTATAGTT